CTTATCAAAATACTTTAGCCATTCTAATCCCGTTTTATTATTTGTTTATTTATTAGAAGTAGTTTTGATAACCCAATCTGCAGGAAAACCACTTTCTGTATATTAATTAGAAAAATGATATTGTCTTTGTATAACTAAGAATGATAATATAGTTTCCTTTTTTTATTACCACATATGATTGCTGTAGCCCATTCTTTATTGCCTAATTGTATTGCCTTGCTTTTGCCATTTCGTTTAGTACTAGTTACTACCATTCCGGGATATATTATACCCATCATAAAACCAGTTTCGTTGAAGTTATAGAAATCGCAATCGAGAATACCATATTTTGCCCATATATTCGAAACTAGGTGAAACTAGTTTTTAATAAGCTTGGGATCTTCGCAGAGAGCTCTTTGAAAGTTATAAACACAATTAAAACACATCTCTAATTCTATATAACGCTTTACAAATCGATAAGCCCAGAGCTTTCCAACCTTCCTTGCCCCTCGCGTTTCGAATATATAATTTGCCATATCTTCAACAATACTCAATTTAAATGAAAATCCTTTATTATTTATATTAAGTATATATTGAATAAGTACCTCCTCTTCCAATTCAATTAAATTATAACTTTTTGATCGACTCTCAGCCATATTAGGTTTACCTCGAATTCTATCACCCAATATAGATCGAGGTATACCATAGAGCTGAACTGCCTTTCGAATTATCAATTTTTTATTTGATTCAATAGCTTGAATAGCTAAGATTATATATACTTCTTTAGAATGACTTTCCATGTTTAGTTATAAAAAAAAACACGTGTCGAAAATAGAATAATAATTCGAGGTAAAAGTGGCCGATCCACTGATATAGCCGACCCACTGATAAACCACGTTATACAAATTTGAAAATTTTATAAAATCTTTAATAACTTTTTAACAACAACTATTAAAAGAAAACTGTATATCTTTTTGAAAGTTTTGAATTCAAATCTATATAGAAATTTAAAAAAAAAATTCAAAAAAATTAACAGATATAGATATAGTATACAGTAAGTTTAGAATAGTATAAATAATCCCTGTTATTTTGAGGGTACCCCTTTAAATATTTATTTATAAGAAATTTTCTATTTTTTCTGAATCTCCTAAATAAAATATGCTATAAATTTATAATAAAATTTTATAGTTTATTTTTAGCAATTTTTATTAAAAAGTTATTGAAGATTTTATAAAATTTTCAAATTTGTATGTGATTCCCATACAAATTAAAAAATCGATATTTTGAAGCTCTAGATCTCAATACAGAAAAATCCTAAAAATCTAAAAATTTCAGAATAAGTTCAAAACGATCTAAATTATATGTATATAAATTTTCAATGTATTCTATTCATAAATAAGAAAGTTAGAAATTCCATTTTTGGTGTGAAAAGTGATCGAAAAGTGGCCCAAAACAGGGGTGGCCCGAAAGTAGGGTAACCGACTTACATCATGTAAATTTATCTCGGTGAGATTATCGTGGATTATTACGAGTGGGAGATTTTGATGGTTTTGAGGCACAGAGGCGCGATAAAGTTTTTTTCCGACATCACTTTTAAAACATAAGTCGGGTACCCCACTTTCGGGCCACCCCTCTTTTGGGCCACCTTAAAAAAGCTCACCGTAAGAAGGGACCTCTCTTATTTATTCTTTAATAACTTCACAACGCTTGAATCAATTGATTTAAAATTTTGATATATCATTATTTACATCATGCCTAAGACATATACCGAAGTTGATATTAATTCGGCTTTACGTGCAGTGGTGAATGGGCATTCAATCCGACAAGCCGCTTCGGATTATGGGATTCCGAGGGTTACTCTTCAAAACCGTATAAATGGTCACCTATCTCATGAAAAAGGTGCGCAACATATGCAAAAGATAGCCCCGATGCAGGAGAAACGATTGGCAGATTGGATATTAGTCCAAGAGTCTTTGGGTACTAGTCCTACACATCGGCAAATTCGGGAAAATTGGGGAGCGCCTCCTCGATATTAGAGGAGGTGATTCTACACTTGGGAAACGATGGGTTACGAACTTTCTTCGAAGGAATCCAGAGATTAGGACTAAAAGATAAGTTAGGATCGATTCAGCACATGTCAAAGGTGCAACTGTCGATACTATTAGTCAATGGTTCCCAAAGTTGGATTTGCCCTCAATTCGTCATATTAAGCCTCAGCACCGGTATAATATAGATGAAGCAGGCATACAAGAAGGCCAGGGACTAAATGGACTAGTTCTAGGAAGCTCAGAACGTCGTTTTATTCAGAAAAAGGAGCCTGGTTCTAGAGCTTGGACGTCACTTATAGAGTGCATCTCAGCCGTGGGGAGAGCTCTTGATCCCCTCATTATATTGAAGGGAAAATCAGTACAACAACAATGGTTTCCGGTTGATTTAAAGCCCTATAAAGGGTGGCATTTCACTGCTACAGATAATGGGTGGACTACGAATGATACTGCCCTAGAATGGCTTAAAAAGGTCTTTATACCTCAGACAGCCCCCCCCTCACCGGATGAGCCAAGACTCCTTATATTGGACGGGCATGGAAGTCATGAAACTACTGAATTTATGTATGAGTGCTTTAAGCACAACATACACCTCTTATTCCTTCCACCACATACGTCACACGTCCTACAGCCTCTTGATTTATCCGTATTCTCACCTCTCAAAAGAGCATACAGGCACTACCTCAATAAATTGGCCTCTTTATCGGATTCTGGAGCAGTTGGAAAGACTAATTTCCTCACATGCTATCAGAAAGCACGACTGGATGGTTTAACAGAGTATAATATACTATCTGGGTGGAAAGCTTCAGGTTTATGGCCTCTAAACCGCGCTAAGCCTATTATGTCCAGATTGTTGCTTGAGAACAGCAATAAGGAAGTTACGAATCAGAATTTACATTCTGATGATGATCCTGTGCATCAATGGAATAAGGAGTCCACAATTTCAACTTTTAAAACGCCTCGAAAAGCTAGTGATTTAAGATCATATTCGTATATGTTCCTTTAAAACAAAGAGACCGATCTCTATACTCGCCGCCAGCTTTTTAGGAAAATTACTAAGGGATTCGACGCTAAGGACTATGAAATTCTGCAGTCTGAGCATCGAATAAAGCAATTGGAGCATCAATTGAAGCAAGTCGTTCCTAAAAAGAAACGCAAAATGAAAACTAGTCCAAATTCGAAGTTTTCTAAGATTAAAGAGATTAGGGAGGCGCAAATTGCGGCGGGAGATCGTGAAATTGATATGGGAGATGCTAATGATGATGATGAAAGTGTAGCCTCAAGTATTTATTATGATGCCGAGTAGTTGTTGAATAAATGATGTTTTAAAACTATATAATATGAATTTTTAAGGTGGCCCAAAAGAGGGGTGGCCCGAAAGTGGGGTACCCGACTTACTTGAGCATGTTCTTGATCTCACATTCTTCGGAGGATCTATTATCAAAATACGCCCAATGACGACCGAGCGTTCATGACAGCTTTAAATATAAGTTAAAAGGCCTTGAGATCATTCTTGATCCTTTCTAGGAAGCATTGATATCAACCAGAACATCAAAAGTAACGTTATCTTTCCAAGTGGATTGAAACTTGTCCGCTTTAATCTTTCTCATGGTTACTGCATCCGTTTTAGTCAGGAACGTTAGCATCAGATGTCCGACTTGAGATGGAATCCTTGTTATGAATGTAACCATATGATGTTGAAAGCTTTCCATGTACCTCGATCTATCCACTTGGAACTATCGAAATGAAGCAAGCTTTTGCGTATTTTTGTGCGGCTGACATGTAGAATATTGGAGATTGGTGCATTTGGTCCTTTCATATGTATGCTACCGTGAACACAGTAAAATGTGAGTTCCATGTGGAATGAGGAATATGACAAATAAATTTCTCGTTGAGGGGTAACGAATACCAATTGACTGAATATTTGTTGTAAACCTTTTAATTTTGAGGAACAGCTACTTCATTTGAAGAGGCTGAACTTGTCTCCCAAGAGGTAACTTGTACTGTACGGAGTGAGAATATTTGTGGAACTCCGTTGAACCATGCATGAAATCTTCTCCACACTCGGGGGTCTCATTTTGATGCTGCTGTGTAAACCCACAGTACTACTGGAGTATCATCAACTTCGTATCCCAAGATTCTTCATTCGCCTCAGAACACTCGTAAATTGGTTCGGCCGTCAAGTGTAGATATTCTTATGCGGGCATCGTGCATCTATTTGTGCACCATGACACGTCCACGAAAATAAGGGTTGAAGTTGTTTGGATCGTGATCAAGCTTTAATTTTGGAGTTTTCGTGTGTATGAATCGAGTGAGCGGGTCAACGATACGATAACGTGCATTCCTAGGTTGAGAGCTCACTTTGAACATCCATAGATGATATTTCGTTTTGCAGGTTGAGATCGTGGAGGAGTTGTGGAGTTGTGGACTTTCAAATTGCACGGGTATTGTTCGACACGTGCCAAATCGATCGAAGTTCAACTATCTACCTACCTAGTAGGTACTGTGCAAAGAAGATATTTGTTTACTTTGTCAACTGACTTTGATTTATCTTTTTGTAAATATGTGCGAGCTCTCCTGGTCAAGTCAATCAAATCAGAATGACTGGCGTGGCTTGAGTAGAGGTAAATCTACATCACGTGGATACTTTTCCCTATATGTCTTGTTGCACATCTCCGAGGTATGAGTTATGAAAACATATTAGTTTGGGCTTTGGTTAGAGAAAGGGCGAGTGGAATGTGTTTTAATCTTTGCGAACGTGAATCTAATTTTGAGATGCCTTCCCAGGACAGAACCAACCCAAACAAGCATTTATCCCACTACATCGTTGTTCCCCTTCCTGCCCAGGCCTAGAGTAAACCAATGCAAACAACTCCTCTTGCCCAACCATACTCCTATCTAAGCCGGTCACCATTTTTTACTCCATTTCCGCGTTGAGAATTCACCCCTCTTCTTAGTTTTCTTACTCTTGCCCTCTTACTTCTCCTTGCCCTCCTCATTGTTCTTACTCTCCTCATTGTTCTTACTCTCCTCAATCTCCTTACTCTCGCCACTAACTTCAACCAAAGTCACACCTTGTAATAGAGCTGCTCTTATCTGCTCCATCAATCCTCTGTCTGTGTAATCCTTCCTAATCAGTTCGCGGCATCTTCCTCTTCTCTTTCCTCTCTTTGATTTATCCGTCATAAAGGTTTCATTCCATTCTCTAATTGCTTCCTTGATCCCATCCTTTTGTTTCTGAATGCGAGTTTCGAGATAGGAAAATGGGTTCTCCAACATAGCTGATTCTGTTTCTTTTAGTGCGTATATTGCTGTCAACCATTTATTGAAAGGATCTATACAGGTGTTGGCGAATTGATTGTGCCAAGCTTCGCCGTGCTCATTGAAGATGTTGTAAACTTCACATTCTCCATCCTTATCCCATGTAAGCAATTCTTTGATTTTATTCTGTGTTTCTCCAAAGATTGTGATGCAGCAGATATCAAATTGATCGTAAAGAGCTATTTGTTCGAATGTTGTATCCAGATCAATTTCGTGTGCAAACCAATTTCGAACATCTTTAGTATCCTTCATATCTTTTGGATCATGTACCTGCTGTTTGCGTTGTTTATTGACCTCGCCGGAGAGGACTAATCGAGCCAATTGATCTCTCATGTTAACCACCTCACCAGCGTGTCTTCGCTTTTTGTCATTTTTCAGCTTCCGGTTGTCATTTTCCAGCTTCTGGGTGTTATTTTCCAGCTTCTGGGTGTCATTTTCCAGCTTCTGGATGTCATTTTCCAGCTTCCGGTTGTTATTTTCCAGCTTCTGGGTGTCATTTTCCAGCTTCCGGTTGTTATTTTCCAGCTTCCAGATATCTTCTGATGAGGTCTGTTTATATTGTTTCAATTCCTTCAAATCTGCCAGTACCTCTTGAAGTGTGAGATTTTTTCTTTCGTGATGAGTGGGATCATTTGTGAGTATTCTCTCGCATGTGAGCGTGTCTGTATGAAGGACTACTTCTGTAAAATTCACATCTTCTTTGATTTTTGATTGCATTGAACTAATGTCGCCTGAATCCAGCTGCTTTCTATCCTGAGAACCAAGAGGAACTCTTCCTAATAGAGAATATGGTATCTGTGTCGCGGCGTCCTGTTGAATTCATTATTAGTGTGCTGTTAATTTTTCTGGTCATATAACAAAATTGATTTCAAACGACAAAAGTGATGTTTATGGTATAGATATGTAGATGTATGGGGAACAGAAATAGGGTTACGAACCTGCTCCAGATTGGATTGATTTTGTACATTGTTGTGAAACTTGACATGATGTAATCTCCAGGTTGTAGCAACACATCTCCGGGTCCACATTGCCGAAATTAACTGATTTTGACGAATCATTCTCCAGATGTAAACGTTTGATCAGGAGGTGAAACGAATATTGGTAGATTGAAAGTCTATCCTCAGGATGGGACAGTCATATGCTAATGGTGGTGGCGACGATGATGGTTATGGTGGTGATGTACCTTGATGGAATTGTTGTTTTTGGTGCGAGTTCGAGCTATTGGAGAGTTCTTAAAAGACTATTTCAAAGGCGCTCGAGCCATTCTCGACCCGAAGTTGCTTATTAAATTTAGTCAAAAGAGAGCTGTATGAACTGTAGTGAATGAGATTAAGTCATATGCTGACAGCCGTACTGAATAATTGAGAATTGAACAGGACACCAGAAGCCTTTTTTAGACAAAGACTTCCGCCTCCCTTTACATAGTTTGGGCTGCTTAGGCAAATTACATTTGCCAATCAAACCTACAAACGCAGGTACTATGCCATCTGCATTCTGGATACAGACAAGAAAGGATAATAAGTGTCTCTTCTTTTGAACTTTCTTCTTGCAGCAAAGGGATTGATGCCAAGGATGCAAATGATACTGTCATCTGTTGGAATTACATTTCAGGATATGAAGAGGGTATGTGCATTGTAACTCCATGGAGATCATAAAGAGCAAGAGCAGAAGTGACAGAAGAAATTAGACATTTCAAAGAGGCTTTCCAACGCTGTGAGCCCTAGAAACAACCTCAATCATATATCCATATTAAATTCCTCACTCCAAATCAATTACCTGACATGTACTCATTCCCAAAGAAAGACTCTCGCTCATGAAGCTGCCTAACCACATCCCTCCCCAAGTATGAATATTTTGAATGCAACTGAACAGAATTCAAAGAAAGAACAAATCGGTACCTGTGCGGCTCTGCTTCAAGCATTTCTAAACTTCAAAAGGTTCATGTAAGGTTGCTAGTTTTCCTAGGTTGATTTCTCATATGATCTTTGAGAGCAAGCTGAAATGGGTGCAAGTATCTATATTTCTTATTGCTAAGCAGAAAAAAAAAACTTAACAACGAATTGGCTCAGACGAGAAGAAAGGGGGCTCTCAGAAACAGAAGTTGGTGGGAAAGATGAGGAAATACCTAGTAGATACATTCAACCAAACAACGCCTCCAAGCTGATCCGCTTGCTTGGAACTTTGATTTTCCTTGACAATCGTACAAGTTCTGCTCCCAAATGTTGTTATTCTTGATTTCACATCTTTTGTTGCATGTTTACCAATGTCTACTGACAAAGGTTTCACTTTCATCGAGCGGCTTTTCACAACATTACTACACGACTTCGTTCTCCTTGAATTCTGGTGTAAATGAAGAGGACAAGGAAGATTTGAATCCACTTCGATTGATATTGATGAATGTGATGATTCTAGATGAGTTCTCATTAGCGGCACATAAAAACAGCAAGTTCAGAGACCAACAAGGAGATAGACTAGGAGCCAGAAGCCCAAAGGGTCAAACTACCTAGGTAGCTAAGCGCAAGCGCTGGCAATGAGCAGTGCCTGTTGGCATGACTTGCTTGATGATTCACTGTCGGTGTAGTGAAGAATACCGAATGAATTGAGGAAGAGATGTTTGTGTCTACTGGTAGTGCAGTGCAAGTGTGCAACGGGAATCGGAATATTTAATGAACCGAATGATTAAGCTTAAGGTTTAAGCCTAATTTGGATGATTTGTAAGCGTAGATCATTTGTTGGTGCACAGCCAGACAACACAACTTCGAGACAACCTTACATACAATCCAACAGTTTGTAGGTAATATCAATCGATAGGATTAACACAACATTTTGGACTTGATGGGATTCAATATTCAAAATTCACCTCCGCTTATGTACAGCCACGGAGTAAAAATCAAAGAAACCTTGGAAGCAGCAATATGCTCCCACCCTCTCTTTACGTGCTTCGGCGTGTGTCATCTTTCTGCTTAATCACTGCAGTCAGCAACAACTAGGTACTACCTAGGTAGATAGGCAAAAATTGGTTCAGGCCGACGGAGACTTTCATAAGTTGTTGATACGAGCTGTTTATCTGAATAGATTGGTAATAGATAACATAACGAATGATCTGATAAACATTTTTGCTGCCTTGCTATAAGTACCAAGATGATGGTATTGATCACTCTTGGCAAACTTCTTCTCAAGATCTAAATCCCATCGTTGCGCAAAGTTTTACTCTTATTAAAGAATTATGCATCTCAGACGATTGAAAAGAGATGACTTGCCCGCTCTGGCTGATCTCGGAACTGAAGCATTCCGTGATGACGATTTACAAACAATACTATTTCCTCCCGAAGCTGTTGCAAATGGCTCCCTCCGTCGAAGTATCAATTTACGCATTAGAAAACGTCTTGTTGAAGCCGGCACACATTGTTATGTCTCGATGAGCGATGAAAATGATGAGTTTTGGTCTGGACAATCTGAGTTGCTTGGATACGCTTTTTGGACAAGAGTGGGAAAGAGCGAAGCAGCGAAGAAGTGGCAAACTGATACTTTATTTTCGAGTATGATCTTCCATACCTTCTCTCTTGTGAATGCACTAATCATCAAACAGAATTGGAAAGAACATTGATAGGAGCGGAAATGTGGTATTCTGAATACTTCCTTGATCGCGACCGGCCTTGGGATAAGATCCATTACATGAGGAATCTATCGGTTGATCATTTTGGCTCGATTCCAGAGTATTTGGAGTTAGCTGCATTAGCAGTACATCCTAAATGTCATCGTCGTGGTGTTGGTGGAATGATGCTCAAATATGGAATTGATTTGGCTCAAAAAGAACAAGTTCCCCTTGTACTAGAAGCCTCTCGTGCTGGAACTCTGCTATATACGAAAAATGGTTTCAGAGAAACTGGAAGAACTGAAATGTTTCCTGAAGTGACAGTGGTTGCTATGCAATTGGACCCAAAAGTTTGATTATGTATGAGCTAGGGATTGAAATGGATTTAGATGTTTTACTGGTGACAACATAGGTCATGGAAGACCTCTTGGCTAGCAATTTATTATTCTTGCTATCTTTCTCGATTGAACTACATGGTTTCTCTAAACATCAGTGATTTGTCAACTCCCTCTCACAAAAGTTACGTGGATGGAAGGTCCGAATGCGCCAGCTTTAGACTCTAGCTACAATTATACTTTGAGAATTTCGTCACACAAGCTCTTGTGATGCCTCCATTCAGAGTACCACCAACGGCTTCTTATGTTCTTGGATATTTCAAACTGCCACTACATGGGCGAGAGTCACAAGCACTTTCCTAACCAGTTCCAAATTCCTTTAAATATCCTTCTTCTGTATCTTAGTGAACTTCACAATCGATCTTCTCTCGACATCGATTTTCAACATGACTTCCTACATGAAAAAGCAATGCAAATCAATTAGTCGCCGCATTTCTGAAGTGCCAAATTTGAAGACACTATCAGAGAGGAAGTCTTCCTTGAAAATATGACCTATTAAAGAGCCAAGCCGAGATAAAACAACTCGAAAACATCAAACATCGCAAGACTTACAGCGTTCCCAAGATACGACTTCTGAGAAGATTCAGAAGACATTCAAGAATGTAATCACTTCCAAGAACAAGAATATAATACAACATCTCCTCCACTCCAAAAATCCAAAGAACCAAGCTCAACCTCTTCCGAATCTACCATTATCAACACAACGATCTCCGACATTCCCTCCACAACCATCTCATCCACTATTCCCCCCACCACCAAATCCAACAAGAACGGCCCCGACGAAAAATACCAAATCAACTCTCACCTGCTCTTCGAATCCTCTTTCCCCGGCCACACATTCATATCCGTGCATCTCCAACGCCTCCAACACGGTGTCTATTCCGATGCCAATCTCCACACCAAACATACCTTACACATAACATTCGTCGCTCTCAGTTTCATATTCCATCCCTCTACCCCTGCGCACCGCTTCGAGAGCGCAGTAATCGATATCAAAGTCCGTGATCAAAAAAGGAATTTGAGGTTCCTCAAATATGCGCCGCATCAAGCATATGGAAAAATAAGCACAGAGAGTTTGAAGTGGAATTTTCAATTGGGAACTTCGCTGGGTGTGACGCAGGGACCGGCAAATGTATGTGTGAAGCCGAGCATTGGCGAGGAGAAAAGTAAAGTTGTGGGGACGATGATGAAGATGTATGTTTTCCCTTTCTTTCTTCCCGCTTCTGCTGGTTTTTTCTTTTTCGTATTTGGGTCGTTGATTATGTCGACTTATGTATGAAGACAAGGTTCCACACGCAGTACTTTCGAGCATTCGATTCGGTATCCGGATACACTCCTGCATTTTTCGCTCGAAGAAAATGCACAGCAGGACTCGGGGCTTCCGCGTGAATTTACATTTGTGTTTTTGCTTGAGAGACCGAGTGAGAAACAATATCCGCCTGTTCATACGTTTCATTCTTCTAAAATTCAAACACTTGAGCATTGTATTTCTGAGAAACTAAGGAGTATGAGTGGGAGAGGAAGGAAAAATGAGGATGAAGAGGAAAATTGTATGGAATATAGATATGAAGATATAGCTGGGGAGAAAGAACATCGAGATTGGAGGTTGAAAGATTAGATGGGGATTTCGAAAAGATATTTGGGGAAGTAGAATTTGAAATTGGGATTGAACCTAAAAGTTTGCTTCTCTCCTAAGTCCCCTCTCCCTAATTCTCATTTCTCGGCCCCCCTAACACAAACCCCAGTATCGAACACCCTCACTCTCCCCTCTCTATCCTCCTCCCTTCCTACACTCCCCCGCCCAGGCGGTTCTATCCACAACAGCGCAGCACATACCGAAACTGCAAGAGTCCTCGGAGAAGTGGGTCAAAAATTTCCCACAGAGGGAACACTCGATAGTATGGGAAAGTTGAGCATGAAGAGGCGATTGTGCATGGATTGTATAATTTCGCAAAGTTGGGAGGAGCGTTTGAGGAACAGGTTTGCTTGCCGGGGGAGAGTGTAGGGAGTAGAGTGCCAGAGTTGGATGGTGGGGGTACTGCGGGTGGAAAATAGGTGGGATGAGGTATGCTCGAGGTATGGTAGTGGGAACAGGAGGGAAGGGTAAAAGCAGTGGATGGCAAATTGTGAGAGTATGTAAAAGAAACATGCATAACAAGACGTATGTATTGAATGGGATAGTTTATACATAATAGGCGGAATAACATATCTTGTACGAAACTTCATCTCATATCTCGTATATCGTTAGAGATAGCCAATCACCAAATTGCGTCGGTCATTTGAACTTTCGTCCCGCCGTCGGTTTTTTGTTTTAAAATCACCTATCATTCCGAGACATTCAAAATCAATCAATGATCCAAATGTTTCTCCAGGTAGAACTTAGGCTTGACTTCAAGCTGGAAAAGCTGAAGATGGGCCGATTCATCTTCTTGAATATTTGAACATGGTGCAAAATGGTAGACGAACGAAAGATAGGTGTTCTAGGCAAGGGTGCCTTATACTTGGATGAGCTCCATCGCCCGTAGAGACATATATCATCCATATACCATGATGTTCATTATCATGCCTCTCATATGCCTTAAACTCTCCAAATTTCAATATTTAATCCTCCCCAGCCAGCGACACAGCATGATCCTTTGCGGGAGAAATTAATCTCAACCGCCTTCTTTAAACTCCACATATCATCCCAAGTCAAATCTTTGATCCAACCCCCAATCCTGTCTCTTACCAAACATCCTCCGGCATAACCTCGAAACTCTCCCCATTTTCCCGAACATGTTTTAGATTCTTATCCCTCCTCAACGGTTTCCGCATATCATACGCATCCTCCCCCTCACCCTCATCCACCTCTTCTCCCCCGACAAACTCATTATAATATCCTTTGACCGTCCTGAAAACACTATAACCCAGTCCCTTGTAAAGTTCCTGCGCAATCATGTTACTTTTCCTCACAAACAAATCCACAAACCAAGCATCATATTCTTCTCCTCCTTTCTCTAAAACTTGAGACAAAGTTCTTGCAAGACCTAATCGTCGCGCGGAGGGAGATACGGTGAGAGCAGTGATATGCGCGTGCCATGGTAGATAATGCGGAGATTGCGAGAGAAGCATCGATTGTGGAGAGGACTCAGTTTTGCCCATTATGTAACCGGTGATGGCAGAAGAAGGGGAGAGAGCGACGGTAAAGAGATGCGGCCATCGTGCTAGATAGGAGAAGTAAAAACTGAGATCGTATGTTTCAGTTAAGGGATCGAGGTTTGTGGGATTAAATTTCAGGACGTCGAGGGCGGAAAAAGGGCGGAGGGTTGTCATTTCGATGAGGGGTAGTGGGATGGTGCTTCTTGAACTGATGTTAGGATAGTATGTCTTGAGCTGCTTGGAGCTTCAATCGATGATGTTGTACTCAAAAGTCTGTTGCGTCGTTGAGTGTGCGGTTTGTTAGGTTGTGGTTTTCTTTCTTTGAAGAATTGGAACAGTATGGTATGTTGTGGGAAAATTCGTGTCTCATGAAAGGTAGTTTGTAGCTACAACATAACTCAAAACCGGAGACCAAAATTATATTGCCATGTGTCACCGCCATCATCGAGTACCGAACGCCGATGATATTGCGGCACATCAAAAATCGACCATTGCAAGGAACTTGCTTGTCTATTGGATTGGTCTCTCGTTTTTTTATACTCCCAAACAGCAGACTAATATATTCGACTGAGAGAAAGCCAAAATGGAATAGTAGGTACGAAGTCTTTCCTGTCAACCGCACAGATAGACACCTCCCTCATCCTACCTCATCGCCAAGTATCAATCATATCATCTCAGATAAGGATTAGACTTTCAGGGACCCATCAATCCTCCTCGCCAAACCATCTTGCACGGTGTTTTACTCTGCGCTGGTTCACAATAATAATAAAAGCGAGATTTGATATCACCTTGGAGGACTACCCTGTTGACCTTAGCTGTTGTTTGATACTATAACAAGGTTCAAGTGTCTTTGGGTTTCCACGTCGACAATACAGCGAAGAAGGAAAAGAAACATTGTTGTTTTACTAACCATTTATATTTGTGCGCGGAGTCATATTCACTCACTCATACCATTATACTACAACTCCTACGACTTTGCTACGGCTTTTTAGGAATACGGATATTGGTTCATATTGCAGATCGAAATAAATTCGTTTTAGGAAATCGAATAGGAGAGAATATATTACATACAACTGTAGGAAATCATACCACATCAAACGGAAGGAAAACATAAAAGAACACCGCATCCGATTCTGAATCACAAAATTCCCTAAAGACGATAGAAAGACCGAGAAATTAAACTTCCATACCTGTCAAAATGCCTCCTTCACCACAAACTCCTAGGCATAGTCGACACCCTTCCGCACTGGATTTCTCACCCTCAACCATGAGCCTTTCACGCAGACTTTCCAAATCTTCCATACATACACCCACTACACCAAATCATATGATTCGAGACTTTAGCAGTAGTGTTGATGGAGTTGGTATGGATGTACTTGGGTCAGCGCAAAACGGAGGAAATGGACTTGGAAATCTAGCAGATGAATTAGCAGATGCATGGAGTGAAGATGAAGGAGAAATGGACGAAGCAGATCTTAATTTTCAAAGCATGGCGCCAACGGAGTCGGATCATGAGGATGCGGAAGAAGACAAGAATGTAGTGAGGGATAGTGGTGTAGATGTTACGAGTCCGAAAAAACAACACACAGCTATGAATTCAAATTCGACCTTGACACCGCCGACAGCCGGACATGGGAGAGTTCATGCGTTAGGCCATGCGAGATCGCCGTCTGAATATGATGGGAGTGATTATGGAGGAGATTCGGATTTGGAGAGTCCGGCCTTTGGACCGGCTTTATTGGCGAGAATGGATATGGTAGAGGGGTTGGCAAGGAGGGGTACGGAAAATAATGGGAGTCAAGCTGATGGGGTTGTTAAGAGGGTCATTGAAAGTTTGAAAGATTTGGGAGGTCAGTCTGGGGTGGAGGGAAATACTACTAGGTTTGTCACTCTTTCTGGATGTTCTTTATCTTTCATTTCCTCCTTTCGTCGAGAGAAATACTTCATCCTCCTTTTATAGAAATACTAATCCGAATAAAAGACTAGTAACGACCCATACTGCCCTTTCAACGCACCTCCTCCATCAAACCCGTCTCATCCAAAACCTTTCCCACCCCCTCTTCTCTCCTCTGTCCGCGCCGCCTACTCCGGAATTTATAGACACACTCCTCCCTCTCCTCGACACCCTTAGCGATTCCATTCCTCGCCCTTCAACACAATCTCTTTCATCAATCACCTCCTTGCATTCTCTGACCACTGATTTAATTCAAACGATCACATACTTGTCGGATACATTACATATGTCTAGACAAACTACAGTACAAGCATCAAGGAAATTGAAATCAGCAAAGGAATTGGTCGGCGAAATGAGAAGGGAAGAGGAGCTCAGAGAAGAAGGAGAGAAGTGGGTAGAACAAGGAGATTGGGAGAGGAGGCTGGGGGAAAGGGAATGCGCTGGTGTTTGTAGAGGAGTAGTCGGGGGATTTGAACAGGTTTGTGAGGACTGGAGAAGGAGATTAGTAGAGAGTGCTGGTGGTGAGGTGGGTGCTTGAGACGGTAGTATAGAAGAGGACATGATATGGAAAGGCATACAGATGTTGAGGAGAAAATTCACCCGCGCCGAATAGATACCAAGATCCAAGGCAAGAGCACACAAAGTGCGAGATGTGGATAAACATAGAAAGACGAGAAGTTATTCTAAACACCAGACCGAATAGAAGAACGGGTTCAGGTCGGGCGCTTGGATGGATATCCGGATAGATAGTTGGTTGACTGGTTAGTTGGCTGGCTGGCTCACCACTTGGATGGATGGATTCACGGATGGATAATATAGAAGGCGTGAAGATAAATAGACAGATGAGCCTTTCTTCTCGTCAAATAAAAATATAAATACAAATTAAACTTATGAACCTTTTGTATACATTTGGATTGAGAAATGATGAGGGGCAGATACTTTTGATGAAGTACGGATGAATTGTGTGCATGGGGGAAAATGGCGTTTACAGACGGATCTAACATCCCCGAAGTCGGGCAGGGGAGTTTAGGAGGGTATGAAAGGTTTCGATTCTGAGATCTGGATTCGTTACAGCAGAACATAGACTAGCGAAAGACTCCCTTACGTGTAGCTGTGGTTGGATCAAAGCAGTCGGTTTGACTCGCTTAGGGAGGGGAACGGGAAATCGATTGTGAGAGAAGATTTTAGAGTATATGGCTTTATGGATAGCGGTTATACATTTAAAAGGGAAGTTCTGGCAAGTGCCTAGCAAGCTAAGGATCCACAGTGGGGCAGAGAGCTTGATAATGGTAATGGGATTCGGTAAGTGGTGATGAAGTATCGTTGTCATAGGCTGTTTTTGCTTTTGTCACTTTGAGTTGAGTTCATTCATGAGTTGAGAATTTGGGTTTCTAAGGCTGGATTGGGGTCGTGTGCTGGAGGAAGTACAATGCGCAAGGTGCTTTGTTTTTGAAGGTCTTGAGAGCAGCAATGGTTCACTTGAGAAAATCGCCAATTGGTTTAGTGTGTGACTCTAGGGAGTTTACTCTTGGTTGAGAAATGTTTATGTAGCCGTCGTCTGGCGTGCAGAATGGGAATTAGGGTTTGGAGGGTTTTACGGAAGGGAGTGGAGTGAATTGGAGTAGGACAAAAGTGAATGACGCGATCAGAAGTGTTCTATGTTATGTGCACCTTCCTAGGTAATGAATATCAGTTGCTTTCTGATTTGGGCTGGGGCTTGATTATCGTCAATTCTTGAGAGTAATGGTGAATATTCTGAGATGACTGTTCTCTCATACCTGCTGGATCTCAGAGTAGTAGGGGCCTATAAAGTCTCCCGAGTATCTTAAGTAAATCGATCAATCCAAGAGCAGCTTCAATAACAATATGAATGGCGGCCAGTAACCGAGGGTCTACAGAACTCTCTTTATGGTGTGCTGGATTCGTATTAGGGTAGGAGGTATGGTACCCGAATAAAGAGAGGATTGTGAGAGGATTTTGCATTGTGGTTTTTGGCTGTGATGTGGAAACAAGTATTTGATGACAACGAAAGGCTACTTCATCGGAAGAATGGACGAAAGTGGAAGAGAAATGGACAACAAGACTGCTAAAACAAAAAGATGATTTTCCGGTTAGGACGTCGATGGATCTACTTCTCATGTTGCTTCTGAGCAGATATGGTGCCTGCAGGACATCTCAATGGTGCATTCACGATTTCTTGATTGGTGATGCCTACCTGGGTACTTGCAATCATGGGAATGAATCAGTTAGATTTCGAGGAGTATCACCCCCATATCCCCATATAATCTGCTCCGCTACTCCATTTAACAATTCACTGTCTCTCGTGACCTCCACCTCACTTGCACTGCAGCAATTGAGCATATTCTAACCGAAGTGATGGATATATAAACGGAAGGATATCGCTCGCATTTCTCTATTATGAGAAAACGGAGTTATGAGACACATCATGTGTGCCTTTTGGAGAGAGATTTCTTCCCTCACAGTATGTAAAATTTGCTTGTACTAGGGAAAGGTATGATGAAAGGGGTGAAGAAAGGTGATGAAAGGGGTGAAGAAAGGGGATGAAGGGGGGGCATATGGATTGAGATATGGCAATAAGTGAGAATGACAATAAGTTCTACCGCAATCCGGCAATAGTAACAAAACAACTGGAACTGATTATTGAATTTCTCTGAGATTAGATGGATGGTAGGTGATAATGCCATACATCGATGATCTTACCCATACAGATGCCACTACCAATATGATATGGCGTTACTACTCTGCGAAGACAGATTACTGCTGCATGGAAAATTGGCCAATCTTGAATTTGGTGTCTTTTTTTGCTGTGTTTCCTTAATTCTCGAGGCTTTTAATGTTTTAAAGTTAAGGAATTTGAGCCTGCAGGTGTGGTGAATACAGGTAGAACCTTGAGATGTGATGTGGCTTTCTAGATTGTGTTAGTGTAGCTATAGAATTTACTTGTTGATTATACTCAAGCCTCTTATTAGTTTTGAAGCCTTCCCTGGGGATTTAGAATTTTCACATTGTTGTTCCTCAAGGCCATAGATCGAAATGTCATAGAGATACCGGTAGCTCCGAATCTGAGATAGATTCTGGTTGATAGTCTGGGTAAATTCGAGTTCGATGATGAATGATCGAGCCTCTGAGTAGATCTTGGAGAAAGTATGGGAATTGAGGCCGAGAAAATTAGATTAGTGAGTGAATGATGAAAAAAGAT